ATAAGTGAGTCATAGTAAATACATCAAAAAGGAGGAATAATAGTTTCTTCTTGATTAATACTATTTTTGACTGTATATGAATTAGTAAGACCCAGATTAGTAATTACTCTGTTTTTATGATTTGTTAACAAGTTAGTAAATATATTAACTAGCTTTGGTGCTATACTAATGTGATAAAGTACTTTTTTGAATAGATCAAGATTAACAGAGTCATATGCTTTGCTCATATCTTGTAATATAAACCAGAATTTTTTGAAGTTGCAGAATGTATCTTCAATTATATTATTAAATATGTGAATAGATATGACTGTACTATTGCCTGGAAGTGTAATATAATTATAAGGTAATAAATTTTATATTTTGTAAATATATTATTTAACTAATTTGTGAGAAGTTTAATATAAAGTTTCTTGGCATACTTCAAAAAACTGAAGGGTCTAGTATTAATCAAGTTACTGTCAAATATTGGTTTTTTAGAAATTAGAAAGATTCTATTCTCTTTTTATTGTTTTGGAATATGATTTGTAAATAAACATCTGTTTAGTAAGACTGTAATTGCTTGAAGGAAAGATGTACTAGCATGCTTCAGTATTTCATAACTAATGCCTAAGAGGCTACAAGCTTTATTATTTAAAAGCTGTGCTAGTGTTTCTGTTACTTCATAACAGTAAAATCTTCAAGAACTTTTTGATATCAGTTGAAGTTAATATATGGCTTGGGATTATATTCATCCTTCCAGTTAGATTTGTAAATCTGAAGATTAGTTTGTCTGTATGATATTCATTGGTCAAAATATTGCTAGATATGAAGTTTAATACTTGATGCATTAGTGATAACTTCAGTATCAGTTCAGATATTATTAAACTTAACTGGTTTTTGTATCTGTTAAGTATACTATTTATTATAGATGTAGAGTTTGATTGTAGTTTGCTGCATTTTTTGACAATATTATTGTTAATTTGCTATCTTATTTTTTTAATATTTTCAATATTATGAATATAATATAATGACCTTTATTTAGTTTTGGTCAAGATTAATCAGCTAGGCAGTTGGTCATGTTTGGTTAGTAGAGATGAAATATTAAGATAATTAGATATGTTTAGTTGATTGATAAAATCATTGTGTTGGTATAGTATAGAATTAGGTTCTGAAATAAGTATTTAGTTTGTTTAATAATATTTCCTAGTTTTTTAAGATATTGATGTAATAATAATATTTTTGTAGAAAAAATATTTTGAAAATTTCTGATAATAAATTTTTTGTTTGGAATATGCTATATGACTGCAGAAATGATATTAGTTTGTATTTTATACTATAAAGATTCTAGTGACTCTAAGGTTTGAATAGTAAAGAGTGTTCTGTTGAAGGTAAGGTTTGTTGTTACTTGGTCTGTAAACAATTGTCATTGGTCTGTGTTCATATTTTTGTATAAAAATATTCTTTTATATGTTTTGATTAAGTGTCAAAATTTGTCTATATATACATGAGAAAAGTACCAGTATGAGATTAGAATTTTGTGATCACTTTGAGTACTGGTGTCAGGATTATCAATTGAAAAGTTATTAAGATAACATAAAAGAAGTTAGTTTACCCAGATATAGTCAATGCTACTGTGGTATCTATTACTTTGTCAAATAGATACTGAGGTTTGTATATAAATTGCTAGGTTGTATATGTTATTATATTGAAAGAAGTGAAGTAATTTGTATTTGATTAATGATGATTAAACATTGTTGTCAGAACCATTAAAGTCTCCTAAAATAATTGGTTGTATATTGAGTAAAATGACTTGTTAGATCCATTGTAATGCTGTATTTTGAACTAATAACCTAAGTTGGAAATCATCACATAGCAAATAGACTGAGATAATTCTAAATTTAAAATCATGTTTGAAGAAAAGATCTATTACAATAACATATTCTGAATATAAAAGAATTTTGTAAATATGAGGTTTTATAAATTTGTGAATTATGATAACAGTGCCAACCTTGGAACTGTCAGTACAAGACCAAAGATATGTAAAATGTTTAGATTTTTGTAACTTAGTAATAAGGTTATTGGCTGCAATCTTGGTTTCTATTATATTAATAATATTAAGGTTATTGGAAAAACAGTAGTTCTTCCATATCTGCTGTTTTAGATCTTTATTAAGTCCTCATATATTATGTGTACATAATGCTAAACTGAGTTGGTTAAGCAGGGAGTTATTAAACTGTGATTAAATTTCATATAATGTAAAATAAAAAATATATATAATTTTAGGACGCATTTTTTTGCATTTTTTTTAAGGTTAGGTGTTAGCTTTAGGGGTAGAATTTATAGTAAAGAAGTATAAGTGGGTTTTAGGAGGTTAAATAGAAATCTCAATTTCATTTTAATCCGATTTCATTATCGATATGATCCGCGACATTAACTAAAAAAGCATCATTATTGAGAATAAAGTTGCATTCTTAACTAGCGATATGTTTTTATTGCCATTATATAAATACAGTTCTAAATATGGATTTTCCTGAAAAATAAAAAAAATAAATAAATTTGCATGTATTATTTATAATCTATAATTTATTTAAACAAAGATTATGATAGAATATTTTTAATATCAGTTTTGCCAAATTTGAGATTTACTTCAATCATTTGAATTCGAGTAGTAATGACAATTATTTATTCATTAGCGATCAAGTAGACTTTGCGCGCTGCTTCCCATTGTGCTTCTAATAATGCTTAATGCATTTCATGCAGTCGCAGAGTCGAACAAATGTGCATAAAAATTGATATATGTGATTAACTCTTACGCATTACATGTAAATTTAAATCGACTCTGACTTCTGGTTACGAAGCTCTTGAACTTTATAGTACTATGTAGTATTATTCTATCAGATTGCATTTACATAGGGATCAGTTTGTCTCAATATATATTATTATCTACAGCATTATATGCAAAACGAATGGACGATATAACAGCCTAATGACGCAAGCTAGAAACCAAAGATATTATTCTGTAGTGATCTGAACCAGTTAAGCCTTAATTGGGTAACCGAACCGAACCGAAAAAACTATTGTCAACCGGTTGAATAAAATGCTAAATCGGCTAACCCGAAATAATCAGTTGAACCGAATAATCGGTTAACCCAATATAATTGCTAGCCTGGCATAATTGGTTAACCCAATCGATGCAAATTTATAAACAGACGAAACATGTTGGATAAGCATTCGATCGAAATTTTACAGTTGTTTTTATAAATTCTGGAAATTTGGCAAAAATTAACCGACCGAATATTTGCTGATTCGATAAGATTTGATAAAATTTTGGTTCGCATGTGATTACATTCGAATCAAAAGTTTATCAAATCTTATCGAATCGGTCGGTCAACTTTTGCCAGATTTCCAGAATCTTTATGAAAACACTATAATAACGTTGACATTATCGTCATAACGATCTGTAAAACAATAATTACGATATTACAGTTGTTTTTATAAATTCGCATGTACGCAGCCAGATAAAATGAATCATTTTGCAAATAATTCTGTTATTGGCTGCTTCGTATCCAATAACTATATAACAAGAATGGCAAATGACTTGAAATGACCAATGACAAATGACTAGTCATTGGTCATTTCAAAACCCAAATGATGTTAGAGAGTCATTTAACTTAGTTAAGTATACTTTTTAACCAATCAAAATTAATTATTGTAAAAAAAAATAATTTTATAAAATTATGATCGATAATTGTAGCTACATATAAAAGTCGGAATTTTACTTAATCGATATTTGTGTCTTAAATAAACTTATTACAGAGAACCAATTACATATGTTTTACGCTTACACAAAAAAATTTAAAATTTTTTCGCATAAAAGTAAAATATGAAAATAACTTAATAAAAAGTTATACAAATTACATGAAGCTTTTATAATACATGTGACTTGTTCTCTGGAATAAGTTTACTTAAGACACAAATGTCGATAAATTTAGTAAATATTCGGCTTTTATATGTAGCTACGATTATCGATTAGAAAAAATACAGTTTTCAATATTAGCTATCTGACCAATAAAATTACTTTATTTGAAATGACCCAAATGACCTGATCATTTAGGTAAATGACCAGGCCATTTAGATTTTGAGCAAATGACTAGGTCATTTACCATCCCTACAATATAATAACCAGATAACTCGATTAACATAATTTGCTCGGTTTACCTAGTTTACCCGGCTGACCTGGCTAATTCGGTTGATCCGAATCAATAGAGCTAACCGAAACACGTTCGGTTAAGCCGATTGTACTCGGTTAAGTCCGGGTCGGTTAATCGGTTGACGATTTTTAGCTCGGTTCGTATCACTAGTCAGAATAATTACTTTACTGCGTAATGGAACGATATGTATTTAATATTTTTTTATTAATTAATTTTTTGACTCGATCATTCATGTGTCCATGTGAACGTCATAGCATACGATTAATAGTGTTTGTTCCCTAATTTGATGATAAATATAATAAGAAAGCAATTCAGTTTTTATTAAATTTAAACTTGAGTAAAATCGAGACAATAATTATTTTGAAATCTAAAAAGTCAAGCAAAATGTTCGAAATTATGCTCTTACTTCATAAAGAATTAATTAGATAATATCAGTAACGATAAATCTCGTGGCACATAATGAATAGTCACCAGTTACTTAAGCTATCCGATTATTATATCGAAGAATTTATTATTACGAGTGGGAAAATAATATAAATATATTTATTTAATTTTTGAACGAAATTATTTGGTACTGTAAAAAAAAATTCAATTATCTTTCACTTTAACAGTTTTTTGCAATTTCCGAATACGTGTATGAAATGACCTCATTTGTATGTAAATATTCGTAAATTGCGTCATTCAACTTTGACATCACAAAAAATAGGATAATTTATTTGAAATGTAAAAAGAAAAGGAACCATTTAGAAAAAGAATCGGATTGAAATTACACTTTAAACACGAATTGCTTTAAAAAAAAATATATTAGACATGTTTTCTCAAGATATGAAAATTTTTTCATTAATTATAATCGTTGCGTCTCATATATCTATATTTTCATTTTCACAAAATAATTCTATTCAAAATGATAATCAACAACAATATTTTTTAATTTTTCAATCACAACCATCAGAAGATTTATTAAAAAATCTTTCGTCAAAATATTCAAATGTTGGTGAATTAATTACTTTTAGTGAAAATTTACACTTTTTACCGGGTGAATTTGATAATGAATTTATTGAAACGTTTAAAGATTATAATGAAAGTGTCGAAGAAAATTCTTTAAATAATAATGAAAAACATTGGATTGTTGCAGAAAATGGAATTGTTAGGGCTTTAGATAATGTGGTACCTGAAGATTATGTGACTGGAAATTTTTGTTTTCAAAAGTTTAATCAAGATATATTTGAAAACAAGAAAAGTAATAACTGTGTACAAGATTTTGTTCAAAGTTGGGTAAGTTTTAAATGACATGATTCCTAAATTTATTATATTGAAGTAACCTTATTTCATCTATAAAAAAAAAAAAATTGATAGGGATTAGATAGAATTGATCAACGTTCACCCCTGTTGTCGAAAACTTATTCGTACCCTGAATCTGCAGGTTATGGTGTAGACGTTTACGTTGTTGATACGTAAGTATACTATATTATATAAAGTTTCACCATTGTTAGTGAAATTAATTCTCTAATATTTATCCATAATTATATTATTAGAGGGATTGATATCGATCATCCAGAATTCGAAGGTCGTGCAAGTTGGGGCATAACCACTACTAAACGAAACACGGATAAGGATGAAAATGGACATGGCACTTTTGTCGCAGGTATGTGATTTTAATATTAATTACATTAATGTTTTTTTTTAAAAAAATACTCAATTTTTTTATTGAATTTAAATATATAGGCATAATTGGGGGTAAAACTTATGGTGTGGCAAAACGAACCAACCTTATCGCTGTTAAAGTATGTTATATGAATTGATTTTATCATCTTTTTAGTTTCCTTTCATTATTGCATGTCATTTATTCGATAATCAATAGTCACTTGACGATGAAGGAACTGGCTCGATTAAAAGTGTTCTTTATGGACTTCAATATGTAATTCAAAGTCATTTGGCTAAAGGTGGTAAAGGAAAAACAGTTGCAAAGTATGAATCATTTAACTATCACATATAACTCTGACATAATTATTGTATTATTAATGAAGAGATATTCGATTGTTTTTTTTCTAGCTTGTCTCTGGGATCTGAATATAATAGAGCAGTGAATCTTGCAGTCAGTGAACTAGTCAAGCATGGAATAATAATAACAGTAAGGTTTTATATTGTATTCATAAAATAAATTCATATTTATATTTTATTATATTTGTATATTGATTCATATCCAATTTTTATTATTTTGCAGGCAGCAGCGGGTAATGGATTAGAAGGAAAAGGTGTCGATGCATGTCATGTATCACCAGCGAGTGCTCGAACAGCAATAACTGTCGGGTCCACTACTCAAACAGACCATATTTCGCGCTTCTCGAATTATGGTGAATGCGTGAACTTATTTGCTCCTGGTCAAGGAATCCTTTCTTCTTATCCTTTTTCACAGAACGGTACTTCAATTAAATCAGGAACATCATTTGCTTGTCCTTATGTTGCTGGTAATATATACATTTTTTTATAAAGTCTATTTTTTTTGATCATTATATCATTATTTTTTTTAATTACCTTTTTTTATTAATTTCATCAGGTGTGGTTTCATTAATACTCTCTGAATTGAAGCCACAACAAATATCACTCTTGTCAATCAAATCATCGAACGCGAGATCGATATATATCCTCGATCTCTTGGAAAAGCTTGCAACAAAAAACGTAATTAATGGACTAAATGGAACATTAAGTCCAAATATGTTGATATACAATCAAGTGCAAGAACTTACAGATGTTGAAAGTAATGGAAGCTTATTCATTATTAAAGACTCTTGGAAATGGATTTTGATTTTCTGTGTATTACATTTAATTTTGAATATTTTTAAAATTGGGTTATCTACAAATTTTTTAGAATGATGAGTTATTGTTTCGTAAAGAGTATAGAGTCACTGCTTCCTAAAATATTGATTCTTTTATTATAAATTAAGTTATAGCGATAAATTCTTGATATTACAATGAGATAAAATTGATGTTAAATAATTTTAAATTTCACTATGCCTGAAAAAAAATTTAAAATTATTGATGAATTTTAAATGGCGAAATGATTAATTATGATAATAAAGCTAAATTAATTTTAAATTTATAGATGGAAGAGAGACTAGGCTATAGTGCCAGGTAAATAATGGAGAATTGGGTATTTTATCAGCACTTATTAAATTTATCAAAGTTTCACACTTATGGAGAATCAAACTATAATTATAAGTTATCGTCCGGCAGTTGTTACTGCTATAATCATTTTTATCATATTAAATAAGGTGCTCTAAAATGGCATAATTAAACCCGAAGGTTTTTGTTCTTTCATCAGGAAAATTTTAAAAGTGATATATATCGTTAGTAATCCCTAGATTACTAACGATATATAGCACCCCTGCCGAGTATTATCATTAGTGATTACTAATGATATATAACAAAATTTCGTTAAATTTTCTTAAACTTTGAATTTAGTTTTCTCAATAACTAGTGATTCAAATCAATTGAAATTTTTACTGTAAATAGTGTATATATTCAACTATATTATACTAAAGTTTTAGCCAATTTGATTTAATTGTTCTTGAGAAATCACTTGTAAA